AGAGCTGGTCTCAGAGGCTTGGTGAGAAGCCTGGGCTGGGTGGTGAATGCTGGCTAGGCAGCAGGAGGCCTGCACTGAGTCTCCCAGGACAGAGTCCACACTAAGGCTCTGGATCCCTCTCAGGCTGGTGAAAGTGCAGGGAACAGGTGAAGGTGCAGGTGGACATCATTCAATCCCCATTCGGGCCTGGTCCAATAAGAAGCCTTATATTTGGGGATGTGGTGGCCCCTTCTGCCCTATGGATTAGTCCAGCCCTGCTGCCTTTCACTAGGAGGCTCCTTGTCTCTCCCTCCTCTAGGCCTGGCCTCTGACCCCTGCTTCTGGGTCACCTCCTAGGTCAAGCCCTACAGCCTGACAGAAAAGTGCTTCGCTCCCTGGGATAATTGGGCTTTTCTAACAGCAAAATCACCACCAGCGATAAAAAATAAATAACATTACTATTTGCTATAGACTGAGAACTAAGTTCTCTATGCTAGATGCTTCTAGATTTCATCTTTTTTTTTCTTTTTTTTTTTTTTGAGACGGAGTGTCGCTCTGTTGCCCAGGCTGGAGTGCAGTGGCTGGATCTCAGCTTACTGCAAGCTCCACCTCCTGGGTTCATGCCATTCTCCTGCCTCAGTCTCCCGAGTAGCTGGGACTACAGGTGCCCGCCACCTCGCCCGGCTAGTTTTTTGTATTTTTAGTAGAGATGGGGTTTCACTGTGTTAGCCAGGATGGTCTCAATCTCCTGACCTCGTCATCCGCCCATCTCGGCCTCCCAAAGTGCTGGGATTACAGGCTTGAGCCACCACGCCCGGCTAGATTTCATCTTATCTAATTTTAAAAATAACCCTGAAAGATACACAGCACTCCTCATCTACTGTATCAATGACACTAAATCTAAGGAGGTTAGATTTAGTGCCTAAGAGGTAGCCCACTAGTAAATGAGAGTCTAAACTTAAACCCACATCTGTGTAACTCCAAGGCCTAAGCCACTTTCCCCTCTTAAGCCATGTTGTCTTTCTAAAATCAGGGACTCAGTCTCCCTGTGCTTGAATGTGGGGCCCTGGCTGGTCTCTTAGATCCTGCCCTCCTCCCTCTCTTCCCAGGGACTGAAGTACAGCTGGAGGGTAAGTGCTGTGTCAAGGCTGTCCAGGGACCCACTCCCAGCCCTATCCTCTCCCCACTGCTAGGCTGGGACCACCCCACACCCACCCAGGCTAGGCCCCAGGGCCTCAATGAATTGATGACCAGTCAGAGATGCTCAGCAGTGAGGCTGGCTTTCCAGTTTTGAGTGGGGAGGAGGAAGAGGAGGCAGCAAATCGGGTCGGGAGGCAGTTCCCAGGGGCTTCTGTGGCCTGCTGAGACGAAGTGGGTGAGACTGGCCAAGGCAGGAGGGCAGGGCCTGAGGGATGGGGATGGGAGGCTCTGCGTCTCACCTATCCTGTCCTCTCCAGACCCCAGGCCTCCGCCCTCTGGACAGTGGATGGGGTGTCTCCAGCCTTCATCCAACACCAAGAGGATGCACAGGCCACAGCATTGGGGGTATTAGGCAGCACGCTCTGCCACACCACCCTCATTGTGCCATGCTTGATCCACACAACACACCTCCAGTTTCCTGAAGGGAGCATGGTCTCTTGGGTCTACACATGCTGTTCCCTTTGCTTCTAATTCCTTTCGCCCACTCACTCCTAACTCTTCCTTCAGGGTCCAGCTCAGGAGTGACTCCTCCAGGAGGCCTTCTTTTGTCCCCCACCTGCCCCAGAGCTGCATTAGGCCTTCCTCATCATGGCAGCCTCCACACTGTACTGTTAACTCTAGCTCTGGGACTATCTCTCCCACTAGACTGTGAGCTACTTTGGTTGGGAACAGTGCTTAACTCGTCTTTGTATTCCCAGGGGCCAGTGTAGAGCCTGCAAAGAGAATACCTCATGAACATCTGATAAGTGAGTGAGTGTGTTGGGAAGACTGCAGAGGCACCTCTGAGAAGGCCTGCACCAGAGCTGGAGGCTGCACCCCCATGTCCCTGGCTCCACCCTCTCTCCAAGCCTCAGCTTCTGTGTTGTGCTTGCCCATCCACTGGTGCTCTTCTGAGTTGCCCTGAGCACACAGCCTGCTGGGAACTCCTACACCTGCTTGCTGGCTTGGCCACAGCTCCTGGGATCTGGGAGACAAAAGGCCTTTGTGTAACCTGTTTGGAGTTATCAGTGCCACTGTCCAGTGAGTCAGGGACCCAAATGGCCACAAATGAAGAGGAGAGTTCTCAGATGCAAGAAAGTCAGGCCAGCTCTGGCACAGGCTGTTAGCTCTGGGTTGTTTGGCCGTCCTTTCCTACATCTTCCCCCTTGCCCTGCCCCTTCCCATATCCTATGAGGACTCCTGGGTACTAGAAAGTTATAGGCTTACTACATATTCCTCATGTAGTAAGTGGCAGGAAGCAGCTGTGACTAAGGCCTAATTCCTGTTCCAGCCCCGCCCTGCCAGGCCTTGGCTCCAGAACCCAGAGTTGCCTCCTGCCAGAATTCTGCAGGTGAGGCTCCAGACAGGTGCAGAGAGCTCTCCAGCAGCCTAGAGGCAGCATGACTGGAAACATCCCTACAGGAGCAGGACAAGCTGGTGACTAGGACACCAGACAGGAGGGGACCTGGAGAAGCAGCCTCTCTCACATTTTCCTGGGTCTCAGATGCCAGGGAAGTGCGGCAAAGCATGGGTGAGGTCCTGGGAAGGCATTAGCCTTGGGCTTGGGGTGGAGAAGGACACTAAAGAAGAAGTCCCTGGGGTGGCCAAAGGGCCTGGGCAGGTCCACTCTGAGAGATGGGGGAGGTGAGGCCACGGGCAACCCCGGCATTCCTCTGGCAGCTCACTTTAAAGGTCCAAATTATCTTTCACTTTGGAGCCAAGGAAGGCCCACGGTAATTCAGAGGACTCCTCCCTGTCTCCTCTCTCTCCTTCCCACTCACCCCCACCCATCCTGGGTAGCAGTTCTCACCAATGCAAGGCTGGTCCTAGAGCCCCGGGTGTGGCCAGGACAACACAGATGTCAGCAAGAGTGAGCCTGTGCCTGTGCCTCATCCTGCAATGCTGGTACCTTGAATCTGCCTGCTGCCAAGGCCAGGCCGGGCGGAGAGCTCCTCAGTCTTCCTGGGAAAAGCAAGGCTCTGCTGTCTGCTTCCTGAGTAGCCTGAGTATAGTGAGTTCTCCGACTCTAGCTGGCTTCCTTCCTTTTCTTCTTTCTTTCCTTACTCCCTCGGATGAATTTTAAGAACCTTGAATTAACTGACCTTGGTGTTCCTGGAAGGAACATGTGATAACACCCATGACAGGCTCTGACCCACCCCTTTGGCCCGGCCTTATTTGAACTGCCTGGCTTCTCCCAGTCTGCCCAGTAGGAAGTAGGAACTGGTGTTTGAGCCAATTGCAGATCATTTATGGTGATTGGGCACTGAAGGGTAAAAACCAATGGGATCAAGCCCTGTCCCTTAGGAGCTCTTGCCCTGAGGGAGGCTGTGACAGAGGAAATGATGTGAAAGGAGGATGGCAGAAGGCCAGGGTGAGTGAGACAGCAGCCCTTAGGCTCACTGGGGTTCACCAGGACAGACCCTATTTCCTACCATTCTCCCTTAAAAGTGCCTATCTGTGATCCTAATTCTACTGCCCTCAAGGCAAAGAGAGGGTCTCTGAAAACACTAGTGTCTCAGTTCCCAGGGTTCTGAAAACAGTAGGGTACTCCTGGAGCCACTGTTATTTACCTGGTCTGTGTGGGCAGTGGGCCTACTTGAAGCTGGGTCTGGCTAAGGCCAAGTGATCACTCTGCTGCCTGGCCCTTTCCTCCCCTTTGGGGAGGTGGACTGGACACTGTGGAGCCCAGGTGCCTCATCCAGTCTGGTTCTGATATGGATTCCCCTTCCCCACTGTCCCACCTACCTGAATTTCTGGACCTGACTTCTGTCTTCTCTCTTGCTTGCTACCTACTTGACACTGCCTGTACTTGGCCTTGCTTGGGAAAGAGCTGTGGAGTTAAACCAAATTGCACTGAGACCCTACAGGCAAGGGAAGCTGTTCCCACTCCCAACTCTTCTCTAAACCTTCAGAAAGAACAACTAGCTTCTCACTGTAGGCAGAGGGGCCATCTGTCATCATTCTCCTCTAGTAAGAGGCTTGGGTATTAGAAGATGAATGGCCTGAGCTCTGTAGTACCCCAGCCCTGGGGCTTCTGGTGACAGCTGGATGTGGGGGAGTGGACCTGGACAAGTTCACGGATGTCCCTGTAGGCCCAGAGCTGGGAAGTAGAGGTCTTGGGAGGGAACTCAGTGGGGTCTCCTAAAGAGCAGTTGACCTTACTCTGCCACATAAGCTCCCTAAAGAAATGGGCCCAGACCCTTACATGCTTTGAACAGTCAGTGGAACCTGATCATTCCCAATGATCAGACTCAGTGGCAGGCTGGAGATTCAGCTATGGTCAGTGGTAAAAGCACAAAGTGGAAAGAGGCCAGGACTTACAAGCTTGGAAGCTGGCACTCTGAAGTTAAGGGGTCTGCTGTCCCTGCAGAACCCAGGCTGAGAAAGAAGGCAGGGACCCCTAAGACCAGAGTCAGAGAGAACTTACAGAGGAGAAGAGGGGGCAAGGGAGGCAGCTACAATGTCAGGGCAGCAGAGTGGGAAGATTGGGAGTGATACGAAGGTTGGCCTGAGAGACAGAGCTTTCCTCAGCCAGGAGATCTAAGGCCAGGGAAGGGTCCCTGGGGCTGCTGGGGTCTGACTACAGAAGGCTAAGGAAGGATCTGCACCTGGGCACCTAGAAGCAGGTAGCAGGTGTCAGGCATATCAGCCCCCAGAGTTTGGCCAGCAACCCTGGCAATCTCCTGACCTTTCTGCCCCTTGGCTGCCATTGGGTGACTTGCAGCTTTGGGTCATTAATGCTTCTTTTGAAGGTTCTTACTCATTCTTTGCTGCATTCAAGGGGCGGTACTGCTTAGGAGTTGGGGAAGGCCAGGGCAAGAGGTGGTGCCAGGAGAGCTTACCACTCTCTCCTTGTAGACGATATATTTCAACCACTTAAAGTCCTGCCACTTGAAGCCAGCGAGGACAAAGAGAGAATCGCGCTCGTACTGCTCAGGCCGCTGCATGGCGCCCTCGGGGTAGGTGATGCGCAGTGTCGTTTTGCTGCCCACATCCTTCTCAAAGCCTTTCACTGGTGCTGAGTTCAGTCTACAGAGAGCAGGCCCAGTCAGAGCCTGGGCCTGTGTTTGGGAAGGCACCATGACCCCAGAATACCCCAGGCACGGAGAATAGGAGTCCAGGTCACCTGGACCTATTCTCCCCAGGCGCTACCCCTAGTTGTCTGTTCCAAAGCCCTCCAACCCAGGTTCTTGAGGCTTCTGTTGACCTCCAGCCCAACTAGCCAGATAGACAGTTCTCAATGGGCTCAGGGCTAAAGCTTTGGACCAGGACACTCACCCAAGGTGCCATTTTGGGGAGCTCACCTCACCACAATGTCATAGTCGTCAATTCGTGACCCCAGAGACTTGTTGGCAAGAACGCCTCCATTGCCCACGATGATGCAGCGGCGGCAGCGGAGGCTGAGGGGAGAGAGGCGGAGACCTCTGTACACAGAACTGCCCACCAGGTCTCTTCCCCTGCTCCTTTGGCCCTTGACCCCATGCCCTTGTCCAGGACCAGGCTGGGATAGAGGAAGAAGACCAGTAGGTTTCTGGCAGCATTTCTGAGAGAAGGCTTGAAGCATACAATGGATAGCTGGGCCCTGAGACTCTCCAGCATCTCTAGGCCCTGACACTTCCCCAGGAAAACAGGGCCATAGAAAGGCTTGGGTGCCAGGCCTGGGTAGTGAGGAGGGAGCCCTGGTAAGATGGCATTCCAGGGTAAAGGTTCCCCAAGGGGTAGTGGTGTTTAGGCAGGCTTCAGGGGAGAGGGAAAAGTGGGCCAAGCTTGGGGCTATACCAGGAAAGCAAGAAAAGGGGAACAGGCCAGGTGTGGTGGCTCATGCCTGTAATCCCAGCACTTTGGGAGGCCGAGGTGGGCGGATCACAAGGTCAGGAGATCGAGACCATTCTGGTTAAAACGGTGAAACCCTGTCTCTACTAAAAATACAAAAAATTAACCGGGCATGGTGGCGGGCGCCTGTAGTCCCAGCTACTCAGGAGGCTGAGGCAGGAGAATGGCGTGAACTGGGAGGCAGAGCTTGTAGTGAGCCAAGATCGCACCACTGCACTCCAGCCTCGGTGACAGAGCAAGACTCTGTCTCAAAAAAGAAAAAAAAAAAAAAAAGAAGAAAAGGGGAACAGGACAGGAGGCTCTAGGACTCAAGGCTCCCAGCAGTCACTAGGGAGCTTACTCATAGTGCTTCTCCCATCCCTGACCCTGGCACTTCCCACTCTAGGGTCTGTTGGTTTGGGAGCTGTCACTGCCTTCTGGACTTAAGCTTTGCCCCCTTCACCTGCCCCTGCCACCCAGGCCCTCAGTCCCATTGCTGGGCTAGTCCCAGCCCCAGTGTCTTCAGTTCTTACCCTCAAACCTCTGGTATCTGAGGACTGGGATGTCTGCCAAGTGCTTACAACCCATGGGGGTGCAAGTTAGGAGCAGTGGTACCACTTACCTGCTCCACCCACCCTGTGTGTGTACTGTATGTGCATGTGTGGATGTGCTGGAGAAACTGCTCATGTCCAGGGAAGGCCAGCTGGACCTCAACACCTCTGCACACCACCAGGCAGCGGTGGGTAGGAGGCTGTGCAGTGTGTGGCTCACCTGTCCAAGGCAGGGGTCAGGCGGTACTCTTTGGTGACTGACAAGATGGCTTTGATCAGATTGTCTGCAGACAGAGGAGAGAGGTTTCTGTTACAGGGTCACTTACGTTTCTATAAAATGTTTACAGATAGGCCAGGTGCGGTGGCTCACGCCTGTAATCCCAGCACTTTGGGAGGCCAAGGCGGGCAGATCACGAGGTCAGGAGATTGAGACCATCCTGGCTAACATGGTGAAACCCCGTCTCTACTAAAATTGCAAAAAATTAGCTGGGCGTGGCGGTGGGCACCTGTAGTCCCAGCTACTTGGGAGGCTGAGGCAGGAGAATGGTGTGAACCTGGGAGGCAGAGCTTGCAGTGAGCCAAGATTGCACCACTGCACTCCAGCCTGGGCGACTGAGTGAAACTCCGTCTCAAAAAAAAAAAAAAAAAAAAAAAACCCAAACGTTTACAGATAATCCTACTGGAAGGCACAAGTTCCTGGGGGCTAGAGTGAAAGTGGAAGTAGAGAGACCTCTGGACACGAGAATGCGTTGGGCCACTGCCCTGACTTTATTCCTGACAAAGGAAGTGAAGGCAGGAAACAGACAGGCATATCACTGCCAGGAGCCCGTCCCTAACACTGGCACACAGCTTCTCTCCCAGGCTTCTGGGAGGCTCAACTGGTTTTCTGAGGCTCTGTAGTCAGGCCCCAGGGCATGCATTCCTAGGCCAGGGCCTTCCCTGGAAGCTGGAGCATGCGGTCTCCCCTGGAATGGGAGTACCTGCTCAGAGCTAGAGACCACCTTGTGCTTATCTCTGTGTTCCCACTCAGCAGATACCAGGAAACGAACAAGGAGACACCCAACAGCTGAAGAGCTCACCACGTGCCTCATTATCTGACATCACCTTTCCCTCACTTTCTCCCTCTCACATTGCCAATCCTGAATCCTGCTCTTTGCCAGGCTGACTTTACCTCCTCACCTCTTTACTCCCTGAGCCTGGCTCTGCCCACCTGCACTCCACTCAGCAAGGACCCCTGTGACTTCTGTGCTCTCAGACCTGTGCCCACTATTTAGACCTCATCTCTTCAGCCTCTCTCTGGCTTTGGCAATGAGGACTGCTCTTCCAAACTGGTATCATGAGAGCACTACAATATAATGTATAGTGAATAGCAAGGATATTGGCTTTGGAGTCAAATACTGGCTGTACTCTGTGACCTTACATAAATCATTTCCTTTCTTTGAGCTTTAGTTTCCTCATCTCTAAAATGAAAGTAATTCCTATTTTGTGGAGTTGTTAGGAAGATATAAAATAATGTACATAAAGACCTAAAAATAAAGTAAACTGGTATCACCACAATGGAGAGCATCTTAATAACATCAAATAACCACAAAGATGTGCATACACTAAGATCCTACAACTATGCTCCTAGGCGCGGAGCACTGACAAAGTCACACGCTTGCTCCAGGAGACATGCAAGAGTGTCCGCTGATGAGCTGTTTGTTACAGCAAAATGTTGGAGGCAAGCTGAATGTCCACCAAAAAAAAAAACAAAAAACAAAAAACAAAAAACAGATTAAATGTGGTATATGAAATCCTATACAGCCATTAAAAAAAATCAATGACCTAGAGCTATATGCATCAATACAGATAAATCTCAAAAACATATTCAAAAAAAATGAAGAATATACATACACATATACACAAATATAAATATGTAGTGAAAATACATAAGGCTGGGTGTGGTGGCTCACACCTGTAATCCCAGCACTTTGGGAGGCCAAGGAGGGAGGATTGCTTGAGCTCAGGAGTTTGAGACCAGCTTGGGCAACATGGTTAAACCCTGTTTCTACAAAAAAATACAAAAATTAATCAGGAGTGCTAGTGTGTGCTTTAGTCCCAGCTACCTGGGGAGCTGAGGTGAGAGGATTGCTTGAGCACGGGAGTTGAGGCTGCAGTGAGTCGTGTGTGTGCCAGTGCACTCCAGCCTGGGTGACAAAGCAAGACCCTGTCCCAAATATACATAAACAAGGCATAAGAATGCCAACACTGAAGCCAGGATAATGAAGAATAATGGCTTCCTGGGGAAGGAAGAGAATGGAGTGGGAAGGGCTCCACAGAAGGTTTAATTGTATCTCATGTTTTATTTCTTAAGCTGAGTAGAAGGTACATCAATGCTTATTATTCCTAGTATTTTTTATATGCTTGAAATATTTCTTGTAAAGAAAAGATGGCTCCAAAATTAAAAATAACAAACTTATACTTTTTTAAAGGAGAGGGGTGGAGACGCTGGTAGAGGTAGCCGAGAGGTCATGTTAAGGACTGAGAAGTATCCCTTGGATTTCTCCAGGACACTGAGCAGTTTCACTGGAATGGTGGGGTGGGATGGGCAGGGATGCAGATGTTCTTCAGGAGTAAATGGTGAGAAAGAGGAGGCAGTAGGTGCAGTTAATCCTTCCAGAATGAGGTAGAGAATCCTTCCAGTTGAGTGAGAATGAGGTAGGGAAACAAACCTTTAAGCAATGTTCTACACTAAGTGCCTTCAGATATACCTTATGGTGGCCTTTAAGAAAGGCCACAGATTCCCTCCTTTTCCCACTTCCAATTTCACCTTTAAGGAAGAGCGTATTGCTACTAAAATTAGCCAAGGTCAAGGATATGGACTGGGCTTTGTTTTCTAGGAGGAGAACCTCAGCAGAAAGAGTACACATTAGCAGGTGCTCTCTGCTTGCTGGCTGATGGGCTCCACAGCAAACTTCCCTGGCCTTTGTAGCTATCCCATCTGAGTCTCGAGTGCAGATTTGAGAGAGAAGAGTGGCCTTCTTTGCTGCCTGCACCCAGGGAAAAGGTGTTCTTCATATGGTTTAACCTGACCCATTAGATTTGTCCTTGGAGGTCTGAGGTCAAAGCTCCAGTTCAAGTGCTTTTCCTGGCCACTGTCTTCTTTTCAGGGAGAGGTAGGCTGGCTGAGTAGAGGGTTCAGGTATTCTTGAGTCTCCTGGCCAAATGATATCACCCCTTTAGCTGTTATTTTATGTAATTCTGACCAAGACTTTACACAGTAGTATAATTCTCTCCATTTAACTGCTGAAGGAACTAAAGCACAGACAGGTAACTTGTCCAGGGTCACAGCTAGTAAAAAGGAAGTATGGGGATCTGATCCCTCTCTGCCCGACCCATAAGTCCAGATTATTTTCCACCATGCCATGAAACAGCACAGAACTTGACAAAGAAGCAGAATTGTTCAACTACTCGGGATGGGAAAGTCTTAAGTTAGGAGGGAGCTGTGTGGGTGAGGTCCCCAAGGCAATAGAAGGGGAGTTTCTAAGAGGGCAGGGGACAGGTTAGCCTTGGACAGGATAAGGAAGGGCTGGAAGGGAGACGAGGTTGAGGTGAAAAACATCAGGATGGGCTGATAGAGGGGTGTGGGGCACTCCTGGGGGACAGTCTGTTACCTCTCTGGGAATGTCCCTACTATACCTAGTACTCTAGTGTTCCTGTCTATGGCACGCCTTTCCTGTGCTCTCAAAGCTCCTTGTACTTCCCTCACCAGAACCCTGCACTCTGAGTATCTGTATCTCGGCTATACTGGAGCTTTTTGAGGAGAGGAACCAAATCTGTCCACTTCACTGTTGTATACTTAGCCCCTGGCAAAGTGGTGGGCTCTGTGTACATATTCCATTAAAGAAGAAGCCGGGCACGGTGACTCATACCTATAACCCCAGCACTTTGGGCAGATCATTTGAGTCCAGGAGTCTGAGATCAACCTGGGCAACATGATAAAACCCTGTCTCTTCTAAAAATACAAAGAAAAAATTAGCTAGGCATGGTGGTGCGTGCCTATGGTCCCAGCTACTCAGCAGGCTGAGGTAGGAGGATCTTAAAGGTGGTGGAGATTGCATGAGCCAAGATCATGCCACTGCACTTTAGCCTGGGAGACAGAGCAAGGCTCTATCTAAAAAAAAAAAAAAAAAAAAAAAAAAAAAGTGAAAAAAGGAAGGGAAAAAGGTAGAGATTTGTTGAGAGTAGAGGAAGGGTGGATTCTTAGCATGGGTACTTCGAGGATGTAGCCTTATCCTGAAGGATAGGGAGACAGTCGGGGGGGTGAGATGTTAATGTAGGGCAGGGTTCCCAACATACCTTGACCTTTGATCCCAAAAGGCGGCACAAACTCCCGGATTCTAGCCCACTTGCGAAAGGAGTCATCCAGGAACATGGGTGCTGGCTTGGAGAACCTGGAATATAACAGGACTGTTGAGGATCACAAAAACGCAACAGGGTGGAGTCCTGGTGGCACTTCTGTGCATCCATCTTCGCTAAGGATCGGCTGGAAGCCCCCTCTGATTCCGGCATACCCCTCTCCGCCCAGCCTGTTCACTGGGTTTCTGTTGAGGGGTTTGACAGATCTTGTTCAGTGGAGCCTGAGTCTGAGGGAGTAGGCCTGGTCAGTCTTTATTTGGCCAGCTGTAGGAGTGGAGAGACAAGATTTGCTCAGCAAAGATCAATTTCTCAGAGCTAGAAGCTCTCTGGAAGGTTGTGCAGGCATCCATCAAATAGTCACTGCTGCCCACATTGTTCCTGCAATCTGGGAACACAGAGATGAGACACTGTCCAGTTGAGCAGAAATACATCCAAAAATACAACCAGTGCATGGAGACAGATTTTGGAGAGAATTCTGGGAAGTGGACCACCCACAGTGAGGAAGAAGGAGAATTCATGGTGAGAGGGCAAAGCAGGTTAAAAGCTATAGGAGACAGAAGTTTGGTAGGGACGAGAAAGAAAAAGCAGAGTCCTGGGAGGCAGGGCCGAGGGGAGAGGTTTCAGACCAGTAGGAATTTGAGTGCATTTGCTGGTGGAGAGAAAGAAAGAGAGGAGGCTAAGTTCCTGTGGAAGTGAGGAAGGATCCAGAGCTTCAGGGGAAGGGTTGATCTGGGCCGGAGGGGAGATGGGCGGAAAGGCGAGAGAAGGAGGATGAAGTGATGCTGAGCTCGGGGGGAAAGAAGAGGCAAGTCTTACTCTTCTTGGAATGGGCAGGGAGGGGACAGGCTTGGGGAGGAGGAGATGAAGTCTGAAGAGAGGCAAAGGGAAGTGAGGAAGAGGGAGAGGATGCAGCAGGAATTGAGCTCTTCAGAGATGACTGGAGAGCACAACTTCACATGGGCGCTAGCACCCTGCTTTGAGGCCATTTTCAGGGGACCTGGCAGCCCCAAAGATGGCCAGTCCCTGATCACCCACTGTGTGCTGAGAACTCTGCCATGCGGCCTGCTCAGGACCTTCCTGGCCATAAATGAATGTCGGGAGGCCTGGGCCTCCGTGGCTCCGTCTCGTTATTTCTAACTCACCCTGAATCAGCCACTGAATAACTGCAGGCTGCAGGGGTGGCCTTTCAAGCCCAGAAGCAACCACAGCACGGATTTCTCATCCCTATCATCACTAACACCATTATAACCGGCAGTCCCAGGAGCAACAGTATCAGTTATCACTCAGAGGTCTGGTATTAGAGATTTTGACATGAACTTGAAAGAGGCAGAAAACTCTGAATCCTGCTCCCTCCCCCATCACTCTTGCTAGGAAGATGTCAACACTTGGGAGCTCAGAGCCGGGTCCCAGCAACTAAGTCAGTGCACTCCCCCAGCATCCCATGTAAAAGGGTAATGCATATTTCTTGTGTCAAGTATATAAAATCTAAGTAAATTAATATATTTGATGTTTTGCCAGAGGCTCCGAGGATCCTGGTTATGGTCTATGTGTAATATCAAAGCGAACGTGGTCCCTGGATAAGCCTGCACCAAGAACCTCTTCTTCTGTGTCAGGACTGAGCTTATAAAATTTCTGGAAAGTTTCTCTCAGAGTCAAGCTTGGACAGGATTTTATCTGCTTTCCAATATGTACTAGATGTCATATGCTAATAAAATATGCCTAAGATCTAGCCAAATGATCTTGACTTTTTTTTTTTCCTTTTCCTCTCTCTCCTTTCTTTTTATTCAGATGACTGGAAAGTTCAGTAAGTTTTACTTTTAAAAACACCTCATTTTTTGTGCAACCTGTAACATGTTAATTTTGGAAAAAAATACAGACAAGCACACATGCAAAATAAAAATACCCATAATTGTACAACACAGAGATAATTAACCTTATGGTATACATCTAAACTGATTTTCCTTTTTCCATATTACTTTGTAGACTGCTTTGTAGACTTTCTCCTACTAGACAGAGACTGTAGTCCCAGCTATCTGGGAGGCTGAGGTGGGAGGATCGCTTGAGCTCAGGAGGTTGAGGCTGCAGTGACGTGAGATCACACCACTGCACTCCAGCCTGGGTGACAGTGTGAGACCTTGCCTCACAAAAAAAAAAAAAAAAAAAAAAAATTATTGATCAAGATTGGGTTCAGGCTGGGTGCAGTGGCTTGTGCCTCCAATCCCAGCACTTTGGGAGGCCAAGGCAGGCGGATCACCTGAGGTCAGGAGTTTGAGACCAGCCTGGCTAACATGGCGAAACCCTGTCCCTACTAAAAATACAAAAATTAGCCAG